GATGGGAGACGAGAGAGGAGAGGGGAGAATAGCGGTTGATAAGACGTGAGAAAAGAAAATGGGGGTTGTACCGTTTCGGGTGCGCCGACAGGGACGAGGATGAAGAGGACAGCCCAGGACCATGGAACAGGAGAACAGAACGTGCGTGCGGGACAACAGGTAAGGGCAAAGGGCGAGCCGTGGGTGGGGTTTCGACGGCCGTCGGTCGGTCGGAGGGGGTGGTTGGTCCTGAGTCCGGGGGCGTGAATGCCACACCGTCTGATATCATAGGATTCCGTCCGGGACCTTGTGGCATCGAAGTCGACGTTTCTCGATTCCGCCGTGGAGGGTACGATTTCGGCCGGGGCGGAGATGGATCAGCATCTGACAACTGGCGTACCATCGAGGGCGCAGGGGCAGCGGGAGCCCAACTCTGCATTTAGGGCCAAGGTGGGTGGGGATTACGGGGCACCAGCTGGCCGGCGGGCTGCGCTAGAGGTCTTTGAATGTGCCCTGCCAGTTGCGGGGCCCGGCTCGTAGTGGTGGAAGGCGCCTCCCCCCCCTCCTGTTGCTCTCTCGAAGCCATTCCTTCATTAAACCCCCGTTCGATGTTGCCGCTTTTACGCATCTGCCATGTTACAAGGTCCCCTTCCCCCCGGCGTCCCTAATCAAGGGAAACCACCAAGGAGCCATATTCGCTTGTGTTTTCAAGGTGCAAGCAAGTTGCCTGGACTACTTGTCATTGGATGGTCGGAGTTCATTCCATGTCGAGGTCGAGGGGGAGAAAGTCTTGTTGAATGACGATGGCCTCGCGCGTTCCGCAGTGCCAGTTTTCCTTTCCTTTGCCTTGCCATTTTCTTCTTCTCTCTTTTTCTTTCTCCCTCCCTCTCCCTCTCTCTCTCTCTCTCTCTCTCTAACCCTTTCTTTCCCGGCCGCGTCTGGCCTCGCTTGCCTGTCCCCGCCGAAACTTGCTTTATTTTCCACGCCAGTGACCTCCCCTGGCGGAACGAGCCACGGAGGCGGCTCCGGTGTAGATGCCGTCTCTTGACTAGCCGATGTACAAGACCTCTTCGGCCTGGTTCGAAGTACCTTGTCTGAAAGTGGACGCGCAACGGCAGAAGAATGTCATATGTCAGGTGCGGCAGCCTAGCGCCGAGATAGCTCATGTCGAGACGGACTGACACTTGATATCACTGTCGATGCAGGGGCAGCAGCAGCCCCCACGACAACGCGGCACGCGGACAAAGGTGTAAGTCAGTACGGCAATATGTGGCCTGGTGCTGTGATAGGATACTAGCTCTTCGACATGGTGTCATGGGCAGTCAGGTGGACATGCCACTCTCCCGTTGCCTGGCGCGATATTTGTCTCGAATGGACCGCGAGTGATAAACAGTGGTGGCGGCGGCGGCAGCAGAAACACCATGAAGCAAAAAAGTATGTCGTTTGGAGCGGCAATGACAAAAAGAAGTGCTCCGAGGCGGATTCGAACTGCCGTCAATGCAGTATTGTAGTAAGAACCACAATGCATCATCCTAACCAACTAGACGATC